GAGAAATTAGAAAAAAGCATAAACTCTGGCAAATGAAGTGTAAAAATATAATAAAGAAGGCCAAAAAATAATTTGAAGAACAGCTAGCCAAAGACTCAAAAAGTAATAGCAAATTTTTTTAAGTACATCAGAAGCAGGAAGCCTGCTAAATAACCAGTGAGCCCACTGGACGATTGAGATGCTAAAGGAGCACTCAAGGACGAGAAGGCCATCATGGAGAAACTAAACAAATTCTTTGTATCGGTCTTCATGGCTGAGGATGTGAAGGAAATTCCCAAACCTGAACCATTCTTTTTAGGTGACAAATCTGAGGAACTGTCCCAGATTGAGATGTCATTAGTGGAGGTTTTGGAACAAATTAACAAACTAAACAGTAATAAGTCACCAGGACCAGATGGTATTCACCCAAGAGTTCTGAAGGAACTCAAATGTGAAATTGCAGAATTACCAGCTGTAATTTGTAACCTATCATTTAAATCAGTTTCTGTACCAAATGACTGGACGATAGCTAATGTGAGGCCAATTTTTAAAAAGGACTCTAGAATGATACCAGCAATTACAGGCCAATAAGCCTGACTTCAGTACCAGGCAAATTGGTTGAAACTACAGTAAAGAACAAACTGTCAGACACAAAGATGAACATAATTTATTGGGAAAGAGTCAAAATGTTTTTTGTAAAGGGAAATCATGCCTCACCAATCTACTAGAATTCTTTGAGGAGGGTCAACAAGCATGTGGACAAGGGGGATAGAGTGAATAGTGTACTTAGATTTTCAGAAAGTCTTTGACAAGGTCCCTCACCAAAGGCTCTTAAGCAAAATAAGCTGTCATGGGAGAAGAGGGAAGGTCCTCTCATGGATTGGTAACTGGTTAAAAGTTAGGAAACAAAGGGTAGGAATAAATGGACAGTTTTCAGAATGGAGAGAGCTAAATAGTGGTGTCCCCCAAGGGTCTGTACTGAGACCAGTCCTATTCAACATATTCATAAATGATCTGGAATAAGGGGTAAACAGTGGGGTGGCAAAATTTGCAGATGATTCAAAACTATTCAAGATAGTTAAGTCCCAAGCAGACTGTGAAGAGCTACAAAAAGGATCTCACAAAACTGGGTGACTTGGCAACAAAATGGCAGATGAAATTCAATGTTGATAAATGCAAAGTAATCATAGATTATTAGGGTTGGAAGGGACCTCAGAAGGTCATCTAGTCCAACCCCCTGCTCAAAGCAGGGCCAATCCTCAACTAAATCCCAAAATTGCTCCCTCAAGGATTGAGCTCACAACCCTGGGTTTAGCAGGCCAAAGCTCAAACCACTGAGCTATCCCTCCCCCCACATTGGAAAACATAATCTCAACTATACATATAAAATGATGGGGTCTAAATTAGTGGTACCACTCAAGAAAGATCTTGAAGTCATTGTGAATAGTTCTCTGAAAATATCCACTGAATGTGCAGCAGCAGTCAAAAAAGCAATCAGAATTTTGGGAATCATTAAGAAAGGGATAGATAAGAAGACAGAAAATATCATATTGCCTCTATATAGATCCATGGTACGCCCTCATCTTGAATACTGCGTGCAGATGTGGTCATTCCATCTCAAAAAAGATATATTGGAATTGGAAAAAGTTCAAAAAAGGGAAACAAAAATTATTAGGGGTACGGAACGGCTGCCGTATGAGGAGAAATTAATAAGACTGGGACTTTTCAGCTTGGAAAAGAGACGACTAAGGGGGGACATGCTAGAGGTCTATAAAATCATGACTGGTGTGGAGAAAATAAATAAGGAAGTGTTATTTACTCCTTCTCATAACACAAGAAAAAGGGGTCACCAAATGAAATTAATAGGCAGCAGGTTAAAAACAAACAAAAGGATATATTTTTTCACACAATGAACAGTCAATCTGTGGAACTCCTTGCCAGAGGATGTTGTGAAGGCCAAGACTATAACAGGCTTAAAAAAAGAACTAGATAAGTTTATGGAGGATAGGTCCATCAATGGCTATTAGCCAGGATGGGTAGGGATGGTGTCCCTAGCGTCTGTTTGCCTGAAGCTGGGAGTGGGCAACAGGGGGTGGAGCTCTTGATGATTACCTGTTCTGTTCATTCCCCTGGGGCACCTGGCATTGGCTACTGTCAGAAGACAGGATACTGGGCTTAGATGTATCTTTGGCCTGACCCAGTATGGACTGGATACTTTTCTAAAAGATTTGCTCTAGGAATTACTTTGGGGAAATGTTATGGCCTGTGTTATACAGGAGGTTAGACTAGATTATCATAATGGTCCCTTCTGGCCTTGGAAACTACAAATCTATGAACGAAATTTATTTTTAAAATGATTATGATTTGACAAATACAACTCTTCCATGTAAACAAGACATCAATTTAGGTCTAAGGTGTTAAAACCATATACAGTAATACCTGCTATTTATAAATACAACACAATATGCTACACACAGTATGTACCTGTTCTATGTTATCTATAAATTTTTGTGCAACAAAAGTCATGCACTAATAAATTTCTATTACCGTCACATACACGATCCATACTGTGTGAACTGTGGCCAACTATCGTTCCTTTAGGAACTATGACCTCGTATTTCTCCCTGAGTTTTATAATCTATTGTGTTTGAAGTTAAACTTTCTTTGTATTGATTGTATTAAAACAAATAACATAATTCACTTTGTATCAATTACAAAAAAAGTTATGTTTATGGCACTCATGTAGTACAAAGTAAAATTGTGTGGGAAAAGAAATCAACAATGAACAGTCGTGGCATATGACTAATAACTCTACTTGCTGCTCAGCTGAGTTCCTTGCAATAGAGCACAGACCACATTTTAACTCAGAAATTGTTTCGTAAATCACCTATTCTCCTGTTTAAAACTGTACAGATCTATTGTGCAGAGGCCTGTAACCCTAAATGGGTCCCAGCTAACAGAAGTCCAACTCAGCCTGTTATATAAAATTGTTCATAAAAGTCAGCAAAAGTCGGAACCAAACAGACTGGCACAAACTGGATTTATTACATGATTAAAAGAACTATGATAAGCGGTCTGCAAGACTCCTGGGAAAGTCATGGGTTGGCATGAAAATGAGCTGAAAGACTGTAGAAATTGGAGGAAGAGGACTGGTGGACTGGAGGAAGCTAGATTCACCATAATGGCTGGCAGCCCCACTGTCTGCTGGGATCGTCAATGACACTGTTGGGCCTTCATCATACTGATCCTGAAAGATGTCCTGAACACACAGGGACAGAAAGAAGGAACCAGATGACATCACCACTTTCATTTGTTTCTCCTTTTTCTTGTCACTCTCCTTTTACCTTCTGTCTAAGGGTATGTCCACATTTTGAGCTGGAGGTGTAATTCCCATCTTGAGGAGACATACTTGTGCTAGCTCTGGGAGGGGCTAGCCACCCCAAGTATAATCCCATCCAAAATGCTGAAAACATCCCTGGGTGCACCCTCTGCTGCTATGCTATATTTTTACAGCGCTAGTTCCATCAGCTAGTGCAGATATGACTCCTCAGACAGGAAATTACACCCCCAACTCCAAGTGTAGATGTACCTTAAGAGTCTGGCTTAGCCATCAAAACAACTCCACCTTTTCAAACAATGCTGTGAGCCTGTGACCAGAAAGACAGCTAAAAGCAGAAGCTGCATTTTCTCTTGGGGGGAGAAGTGTGAGAGAAAAAGAGAGAGAAAACAGGACCGAACTCCAACAACAACAGTTTCAGACCATCTAAATTAACATTAAAAAAGCATCCAATAGGTAATACCATTTAAAAGACTGTCAGAGTTTTCTCTGTATAAAAGACTATATGCATCTAAAAGGAAAGGGAATAAGGGACATTGTTAAAAACAAAAGCTTTATTTAATACTTTACATTTCAAATGCTTTAACTGATTTTTCTAGCTCTAATAAAAAGTTTAAAATATTAATGGTGCTTGTTACAATGGAAGTGGCCATCAATACCTTGACACAAAAGCCTGGATCATACATAACTGCTTAACGTTGTAACAGTGAGGAAGGGTTTCATTAAAATGTTATACTTTGCTGGTCCCTAGACACCGACACCCCCTTGTCAAAACAACAGACCATCTCCCTTCTCATTCACGATCATGCAAGATCACTGTTGCAGCTCCCTACAGCCAAGGCCAGATTTCCAATTAGGCACATGCCTGGAGCACCGGCATCCTACGGGCGCCTAAAAGTTAAAAGTGGGTTAGAAGTTTCATTTTTTACTGAATACAGGAAGGTCAATTGTGGACAGGGGGTGCTGAAGATGCTGTGCCTAGGACGTGTAAACTGTAAATCCGGCCCTGCCTACAGCCATTGCTTAGATAAGGTGACAGGAACATTTTTAATATGGTTTTGGCTTTTATTGGAATTTAGAAGCTAGAAATAAGGAGTAGCAAGTTGCACCATATAACCATTCAGCTCTCCAGCTTATGATCTGGTGGCCGCCACCACCAGCAGTGTGTGGACTAAGTTTGGGAAATCTAGGGAAGAATATTAAAACGGTGACAAGAAAAATAAAATAGCCCCAGTGTCCAGTGGGGCCTTCAGATTACAATATCTTAAATTCTGACTGTCAGGGCCCCATTCTCCCCTACAGCAGGATGTGAATAGCTTCCCCTGAACTCAGTAGGAGTTAGCTCGATCCTGCAGGGAAGGGCTCTGGCGCTTTGTCTTTAGTTCTGTGTTCCTACTGGCAGTGCTGGAATATAAAAATTCAGCCTCCCTTCGCTCACACATACGAGCCTCTAAGAAACGCTCACGCCGCCGCTCAGCCTCACGTACACAATCCCAGCCACCTCCCTCTCCTCAGCCAGACGCACGCCCAGGCTGGGTCCTCCCGCCCGCAGACACGTGCTGCCTCCGCTCTGCCTCACGCAGCCAGCCAGCCCCACGGGTCCCAGCCCCACGCCCTTCCCCACCCCGTGCTGGCGCTCGCCGCCTCCCCCAGACCCCGTGACCGCACAGACCCGCCCTGCCAGGCAGCGGCCGCGGCGGGCATTGTGCGGCGGAGCGGCGCGCTGGGGCTCGCCCCCCGGCCGGGCAGAGGCGGCGGCGCTGCGGGCCAGGCTGCCCCCGGGAGCAGGGGGCGCTGGTGTCGGAGGGGAATGGGCTCCATGGCGGGGCTGCTGCCGCCCGGAGACTGCGGGTGCGATGGGGACGCGGAAGCTGCGGGAGCCCGGCACAGACACCGGCAGCCAGAGGAGCGGGTCAGTTTCACCTTCCCCGCCTCGGGGACAGGGCAGGGCAGCCGCGCCCCAGAGCAACAGGCACCAGCCGCTAACAGAGACAGCAGCCGCTGGTCTCTTCCCCCGGCGCCATGGGGGGGCTGTCCCCGGGGAGGCGGCAGCGCCATGGTGGGGGCTGTCCCCGGGGCGGGGGGAGGCGGCAGCGCCATGGGGGGGGGGGGGGCGTTGGGGGGGGGGGGGCTGTACCTGGGGCTAACCCTGGTGCAGGTTGGTGTTTCTCCACTCTCCCCCCAGCAACAAGTGCAGCACCAGGCACAGGCAGACCCAGCAGGGTCACCCCATGCACAGCTGTACCAGGGAGGAGGCACGGTGCCGCCCAGGAGCATGGGGCAATGCAGCCCAAGTGCCTGGCCGCAGGGGTATATGGCCTCCGCCCCACAGTGAAGGGAGTGGGTACAGCAGGTAGCAGCTAGAGGTGGAGCGGTGGGCTCCGGGGCGAAGCGGGGAGCAGCTGTGCCTCGAGACCTTTGGATAGGGGCAGCTGCGCGGTGCAGGGGCGGCAAACTGGTGGGTGTGTTGGGTGCTACGGTCTCCGGACTGCACACCAGGGGAATGGCCTGCCACGAGGACCAGCTCGGGCCGGAGTCGCAGCACTGTCCAGGACAGGAGCAGGCAGGTTGCGATGTCCAACCCCAAGAAGATACCCGCTGTCCGGGTTTTCACGTGTCCAGGTTTCAGTGCAAGGGAGCCAGGCAGCCAGGGAAGCGTAGTGCTTGGAGCAATGGTGGTTGAGGTACTGGTGAGTGTGCTGGACCTCAGTGTGCAAGTCACCTGGCAGTCTGGTGCTTTGGTCACCAGGTCTGGAAAAGGGGAGAGGATGTGGGACCTTTCTGATGAGCTGGGGTTAGCTATTTAAGGGGTGTCAAGATTTTGGTATCTCCCCTGCAGATTTATAAATTATATCAGATTCATCACTTTTTATCTCCCTATCTCAATAAGATCTTCAGTCACTCCATCGTAAGCAGGAAAACTGCAAACGAGATTTAATAGTATCCAGCTTTAGAGTATGGATCATTAAAAAATAGTACACTTTCTGTATTGTGTAAGCCATCAAAATAAATTTTCTGCGGTTCCTGCAGCCTTGCACACAACTTCCTCAGTTAGCAATTTCAGTTCGGGACTGGTCTGAACTGCGAGAGAAAATTGAGGAGCAACCAAATACATTAAAGACTCAAAAAGATATTACAATAATACAAAGTGCATGAGAGGCAGTAAGTGTATATTGATAAACTACTGTTAAAAAAAATTAGGTGATCTACTTGAAATTCATTCTTGAGGTAAAAGATGATTATGCAACCACTTATTATAACAAACGTATAACAAACAATTCAAATTGTATTTTATAGGACTGCAGATTTTTAACCTGCAGTTAATCATGGTCAACAACATCCCTCCATAAAATCCAGTTACATAGTACAGTAACATTTATTATGCCCTCTAATAGTCAGAATCACTTATGTGGTGAGGTGGCATTGTTTCCCCCACTCCTTTAATAAGAGAAATCCGATTTGGTGAGGAGGAATGTTTAGAATAATTATTTATAGCTTCACAATGGTTCCAGTCCTGTATCAGGCTCTACTAGTGCATACCCACCTGAATGCAGAGTTCTGTGCTAATGGAATGGAGGCTTTAGACTTAGATCTGCTGCTGACTTTAGATGTAGATCTTGACAACAAAAACCTGTAAAACAAAGTGTTGCACTTCAGAAAACAGTCTCACATCAATATTTGGTTGAGTTGCCCCAATAAATTAAAAGGACTTTTTAAAATGTCCTTTCATCTGTTAATAGCAATGTAGTATGCAGTATTGTAGCCATGTTGTCTCAGGATATTAGAGAGACAAGATGGGTGAGGTAATATCTTTTATCAGACCAGCTTCTGTTGGTAAGAGAGAGACACTTTCAATCTTACACAGAACTCTGCAGGTCTGGGAAACCTATTTAGAGCGTCACTACTAACACAAGGTGGAACAGATTGTTTATCGTAAATGGTAACTACTAACCCACCTTGTCTCTAATAACAATGGGGTTTATGAAAACTGAATAAGAATTTCACTAGTTAGTTTGTTTAAGCAGGTTATGCATTTAGCATCGCTTAGGAAAATTATGTATTTCACTCAACTAGCCAATGAAAACAGACTGGCTAATTTCATTTTTGTTTAAAGTTACTTTCACAGTGGGTGATCACTAGTGCCCTACCAAATTCAAATTCCATTTTGTTCAGTTTCATGACCAGGAGGATTTAAAATCAGTCAGTTTCACGTTTTCAGATGTTTACATCTGACATTTCACAGTGTTGGTAACTGTGGTGGTCCCTACCCAAAAGGTGGTCGGGGGAGGGTCACAAGGCTATTGTAAGGGGGTCATGGGATTGCCACCCTTACTTCTGCGCTGCTGGCAGAGGTGCTGCCTTCAGAGCTGGGCAGTCGGAGAGGAAGGCTGCTGGCAGAGTGCCCAGTTCTAAAGCCAGTGCCACCATTAGCAGCAGCGCAGAAGTGAGGGTCACAGAGGATGGGGGGGTGGATTACCATATGTCTGGTTTTCCCAACAGTCTCCTGCCCAAAGGGGTCCGGGGGGGGGGGGGGCTGACAGCTGGAGTTGCTGAGCTTCCTGCAGCCAGAGGTGGGTCTGACCTGCCCTGGAAGCAGCCCCTACTGGAGAAGAGGAAGTCTTGTCTCTCCCCATTCCCGCCAGGACTAGCAGCTGAAACTCTGCGCAGGGAAGGAGCCCCCGGCTGGGCGCCAGATGTCACAGCGGAGATCAGATTTCACTGTCCGTGATGCGTTTTTCACGGCTTTGAATTTGGTAGTGCCCTAATAATCACCTTTTACATAGTGGCAAAATGTTTGGGTTGCAGGCTCTGTAGATGATTCAAGCAAAGAACAGTGTTCATTACACATTTACAATATTATGAATATATTTGTATTTACATAAGAACGGCCCTACTGGGTCAGACGAAAGGTTCATCTAGCCCAGTATCCTGTCTTCCGACAGTGACCAGTGCCAGATGCCCCAGAGAGAATGAACAGAACACGTAATCATCAAGTGATTCATCCTGTCGCTCATTCCAAGCTTCTGGCAAACAGAGGTTACGGTCACCATTCCTGCCCATCCTGGCTAATAGCCATTGATGGATCTATCCTCCATGAATTTATCTAGTTCTTTTTTGAACCCTGTTATGGTCTTTGCCTTCACAGCATCCTCTGGCAAGGAGTTCCAGAGGTTGACTGTGCATTGTGTGAAGAAATACTTCCTTTTATTTGTTTTAAACCTGCTGCCTATTAATTTCATTTGGTGACCCCCTAGTTCTTGAGTTATGAGAAGTAGTAAACAACACTTCCTTATCTACTTTCTCTACACCAGTCATGATTTTATAGACCTCAATCTTCGCCGACTCTTTTCCAAGCTGAAAGTCCCAGTCTTATTAATCTCTCCTCATACGGAAGCCGTTCCATACCCCTAATCATTTTTCTTGCCGTTTTCTGAACCTTTTCCAATTCCAATATATCTTTTTTGAGATGGGGTGACCACATCTGCACACAGTATTCAAGATGTGGGCGTACCATGGATTTATATAGAGGCAACATGATATTTTCTGTCCTATTATCTATCCCTTTCTTAATTATTCCCAGCATTCTGTTCGCTTTTTTGACTGCCGCTGCACATTGAGTGGATGTTTTCAGAGAGCTATCCACAATGACTTCAAGATCTCTTTCTTGAGTGGTAACAGCTAATTTAGACCCCATCATTTTATATGTGTAGTTGGGATTATGCTTTCCAATGTGCATTACTTTGCATTTATCAACATTAAATTTCATCTGCCATTTTGTTGCCCAGTCACCCAGTTTTGAGAGATCCTTTTGTAGCTCTTCACAGTCTGCCTGGGTCTTAACTATCTTGAGTTGTTTTGTATCATCTGCAAATTTTGCCACCTCACTGTTTACCCCTTTTTCCAGATCATTTATGAATATGTTGAAGAGGACTGGTCCCAGAACAGACCCTTGGGGGACACCACTATTTACCTCTCTCCATTCCGAAAACTGACCATTTATTCCTACCCTTTGTTTCCTAACCAGTTACCAATCCATGAGAGGACCTTCCCTCTTCTCCCATGACAGCTTATTTTGCTTAAGAGCCTTTGGTGAGGGACCTTGTCAAAGGCTTTCTGTACACTATGTACAGAAATCTAAGTACACTATATCCAGTGGATCCCCTTGGTCCACATGCTTGTTGACCCCCTCAAAGAATTCTAGTAGATTGGCGAGGCATGATTTCCCTTTACTAAAACCATATTGACTCTTCCTCAACAAATTATGTTCCTCTACATGTCTGACAATATTGTTCTTTATTATAGTTTCAACCAGTTTGCCGGGTACTGAAGTCAGGTTTACAGGCCTGTAATTGCCGGGATCACCTCTGGAGCCCTTTTTAAAATTTGGCGTCACATTAGCTATCCTCCAGTCATCTGGTACAGAAGCTGATTTAAACGATAGGTTACAGACTACCGTTAGTAGTTCTGCAATTTCACATTTGAGTTCCTTCAGAACTCTTGGGCGAATACTATCTGGTCCCGGTGACTTATTACTGTTTAATTTATCAATTTGTTCCAAAACCTCCTCTGATACCTCAATTTGGGACAGTTCCTCAGATCTGTCACTTAAAAAGAATGGCTCAGGTTTGGGAATCTCCCTCACATCCTCAGCCATGAAGACCTATGCAAAGAATTCATTTAAGTTTCTCCACAATGCCCTTCTTGTCCTTGAGTGCTCCTTTAGCATCTCGATCGTCCAGTGGCCCCACCGGTTGTTTAGCAGGCTTCCTGCTTCTGATGTACTTAAAAAAAAATTGCAATTACTTTTTGAGTTTTTGGCTAATTGTTCCTCAAATTATTTTTTGGCCTTCCTAATTGTATTTTTACACTTCATTTGCCAGTGTTTATGCTTCTTTCTGTTTTCCTCACAAG